CTGTAAATGACAAGGATGGAATATTGACCAAAAAGGATGAAAGATAATCCTAATAGTATTTGATGATTCATTTCAACAAACCATGCATCCTACTTCAATTAGAAGTAATGCTTGGATTACTTCGACAAATATCCATATAAGCATAAATTACATTTAAATGCTCCTTCAGCAAATGCAAACTAATTATTGCAATACTTACATTCCATAGTCTACTGAATGACTTAAGTTAATGCCATATACGTAGCAATTATGTGATTCATTGATAAGTTGTCGCCAATAATGCGTTTATCATTTTCCATCCTTCATCCAACTTCTATCTATCTCCACTTTACACAAAATTTTCATGGGTTTAGTAACATGTTTCTTGAATATTGCATATAGCAGCGTTTTCAAGTTTATCATGCCTATGCTAAAAACCTTTGATTGTTAAATTCTTAATCAAGGTAACATGATTATTAGTGCAGACATTGACTTCTTCTAATTTCTGATTAGACATATATATTTCAGTTTATATATAGCTACAACTATCTTGATGCGTCGATCTGTAAATGCAGGATAAAAACTGTAATGCTAAAGCAAGATATAATTTATGTTGCTGCTTCCCTTCAGCTATTTTTCATACATGAAACTCTTCTTAGAAAGAATTACAGAAAGGTTGATGGAACTTTTAGCTGTGTACAAATGTTCTTGATTATTTTCTCTAAAATTCTAAAAGGTGTTCATCGATGCCGTCCTTCATTTAATATTTAGATGATTCTCCAAGACGATGTTTTGATGGATAACCCAAAAAATAAATCTACTTTCTGTTATGTAACTTCTATTCTATTGTTAGACTATTAAACACTTTTTATATTTTTGTAGTGCCTAACTGTGAGTATGAAAGCACAATAAGAGTGAATGGAGAACTTTCACCTTATGGCAAACATTGTGAACCCTCAATTCCTTATATGATGATTTAAATAAATTTTTCCATCTCCTAAATTAATATACTCACTAGATTTAGACTAAATATGCCATTAATCAGCTGCATCACCATTTGTTCAATAAATTTCAAGAGACAAATATATGACACCTCCAAATATTCTTTGTGCTATGTAAGACCTCAAGAACTTCTTTTCTGAGATCTGTTGAGCTTGCATTATCACGTTTTACTCTTAATCTTATACCACAACTAATCAAAGTGTAAAACTTTGCAATGATTTGCCATTAGCAAATTAAAATATCAATTTTGGTACATGTTCATGTTGAGGCTATGGAAGGCGATCCAACACACAAATTACTAAATCTTAGTATCAGATCTTATTCATTTAATTTAAAGCAGATGTAAGTAGTTGGGATTAGCTGTATATTCTAAAGTCGGGATATTATGAAGGCCCTATCATCAGTTCCTTTTAAACTCCTTTTTTGTACCGAGTATTCGCAATACCCCTTTTTTATGTTATGGCTAACCTAAAACAATAATTTCATTAATTTGGATCTATTTTGAGGTCAATTGTTCTGAGTGGAATTACTGTTGATCCTTTCCCCTGAAGCTAGTTAAATTAAAAAAATATAAATATGACTAAGTAGATTGAGTGTTAGCGGCTTTTCTCTAACCTATTTATTGATATCATTAACAAATGAAATCAATATTCATCTGTATTTAGAAAAATATTGCTCCTTAGCTTTTTTAATTTAGAATACTTTGACACTCATTAATTTTATGTTTCGATTATTTCTAGTCTAAATGCGACATAAACTATAATAATTATTTTTACTTGTGTGTCTATTGCCTCAAAAATCCTAGACCTTAAATCTCTTTTAATCGGATGGACTTTTATGAATTATTTAAAAGGATGTATTTACAACTTTTTGCTCTTTGTGAAAAGCAAACAATAAAAAAATTTCTGTAAATATATTTAAGAAGTTCCCTATACAAAAACTGCATTTATGTCGACTATTGTAATTACTATAATTGTCGAGCAACTTTGCATTTTATATATTAAGAAGAATGCAAAGCTGCTCATTATTTTTCATATTAGATGGAATCTTTATTAATCAATATTGAACCCTTGCAGTTCAGTCTCTCCAAAACCTAACGCTGAATATCATGCTGCTTCTTTGTTTCCAGTTAACAAGACATACTCAACTTTTATCTGAGTTTTAGGATGTCAATGTACTCACTTTATGCCGATAGTGTAATTGAACTCTTATGTGCTGCTCATTATTTTGCATGCCTTAATATCTTATTGGAACTTACTCTTCCAATTTTATAACTCCAAACTAATCAGCATAGACATATATATATATATACGAAAGATAAGTGCCAATTCTAATGTTTAAGCAACCTAGAATTTGATGATTATATCATCCATTTGATACTTGGAATTATTCTTTTAAGAACGCTATAATTAAGGAATCAGATCAATGTCATGTACATTATATAATAGAATTATGTTAAATCTGATTGTTAATGTTGCTCATACATTTTTTCCTTTCCTTTCATGACTATACTTTTCTTTGATATTCCTTTAATGCACTATGAATTAATATCTTATACAAGATGCTATCGATAATACACTGCATTCCCTTTACACTATCAATATGTACTAAGATTATCCATATAGAGTATAGTATCCTAGGTTAAAGCTCTTTGATCCATTGCTAAGCATTATATTTAGTCCTAGATTTGTTTGAAAAAATTCTTTTTAAATATATATCTTACATTGTGAAAACTGCATCTTCTTGGACACTAATGCTTGATCTTGACGGACTGACTATGAAATTTGCATACTCTGCTTGAGTTTATCTACGACCCATTTATTATCAACTGAGTTTCTTGTTGGAAAACCCTGCTGTCAACTTTATATAGCAATCTATCAAGATATTAGATTATATAAAGCAGATTAAAAATGTCTTTATCAATAGTGCTATCTATAGTTTATTTTGTAATAGATTCAGTACTAAACTTTAGAGATAACAGTAGATTACCTTCGGCTGTGAGTATATTAAAAATGCGTATTATACGTTTGAATAGTTTATTCTTTACATTACTGATCCTCTTGCGTTATTCTTTGGCTATAGAGTGTAAATTTATATGAAGTATTTGAGAGTATATATTGTCCTTTTTAGTATTAGTAATTTTTATGAATTAACTTGCATCTATTATATACATTGTCAATTAAAATGCTGATACCACTTTAAATGAAACTATTTCATTATCAGAAGTGATTACATCACTAATTAATTTATTCCTAATAATACTATTTTCTTATCTAATCAAAAAAGATCAAGTGCCCAAAGTATTAAAAGTCTTAGTGGAAGGAATTAATAATAATTTATAATAAATGTCTAAATAATATTTTACTATATTATTACACATATACATCTAAAAAATAAATTAATGGAAAATCATTTTCAATCTATCGAATTAACCCCTATATTTTTGATAAATCGGCCTGATGTCTAACCTATCTCGTTCTTCATTCAATCATTAGAAAACTTGATTTATATACGTAAGTAAGCCCATTAATATCAAATAATGATATATTAAATTAATATTAGAGGGCTTCTATTGAATTAATTACTTAATTTTTATTATTCCCACAATATAAATAATATTAATAATGCCTTAACTTAAATTATTGTTTGGAATAATTATAAATAATTAATTTTATCATTTTTGTCTAAGTCAAATGAAAGGCATTAGAAATTTATTTTATAATCTGATTTGTTTAATTTATGATAATAATGCAAATTGTAAAACTAGATTAAAAGAATGAATTTAAAGTAAAACTATAATATTGAGATTCGACTCTGAATAAAAAACTTAATGGTTCAGACCATTATTTGAACATAGGTATAGTTAAAGCCAACTAATATTAAAAGCTGATAATTATTTTAATAAAGCTCTGAAATTTCAGAATTTTATATTATAAAGGTCTATGTTGGAACTTTGAAAAATGAAAGCTATATTGTAAAATACGAATATTATTATGAATCTTATTAATTAACTATTTTGACTATTAACCCAACAAATTCATTCTTCAGATTTAGAGATAAATTAGGCAGGCACAGTAAAATTTAATTCAAATTTAATAAGTAGAAATGTGAAATAATAATCTCAGGGAAATTTATGATATTTTTGAAATTCAAATAATTAATTTTGCCAATTTAAATAATAATTTAACTTTAGAGAAATGAAAATTAATTATCAAAATTTCAATTAGATAACCTCAAAGTTGTTAGAATTTAGATATCATAGCTGAACAGAAGAAAATCAATTTCACTCTAGGTTTTTATTAATTAAAATTTAGGAATCAATTAACAAATAGTGTAATTACATGATTGATTTTTCCTTGTTCATAATTCCTGGTAAAGATAAACTAAAAACCTGTGGTTGATTCATTTATATCCGCTTTTATGAGTTGAAAAAGAAACCAATTTAATATAAACATTCTTCTTTAATTTGAGCAACAAATAAGTTAATCTGGTTAAATCTCTTCATACAGCGGTTAAAAAAATTTTATTGTGCTGGTCAAATATTTAAATTTAAGAGTTTAGCCTTTAAAGTAAAATTTATAACTTATTATTGTGAATAATTGAAAGCCAAAAGCTTTTCTTTTAACAATCTAGATTCTATAAAATATTTAGAAGGGAGACATAAAAAGAAGATAAGTTGAAGGTTTTCAATTTCATTTATCAACTAGGTCAAAGTAATACTTTCAAAGTACTTTATTTATGATTTTAAACGACTATAGATTATAAAGAAATCCAAAAGCTATTTTTAATAAAGCAAAAGATATAGAATTTTGCATAAATATAAGGATTGAAAATTACCAGGAAATCAATTTAGAAATAAAGATATATCGAATGAAGAATTGGTAGAAATAAATTTTCTATTGATTTAACCATAGAATTTCCAAAAATATATAATTCTTATAAATCTCAATCACTACTATAAAGATAATCAATTTTCTAAAAATATGTTTTAAAATTTTTTTCTTGTTGCCTATTCATTTTCAAAACACTTTTTTATCCTTTTAATATTAGTTTTATAATTGTTTATAAATATCAATCGCTAAAGTGAAAATAAGAATTAATGTAAAACCCCCTACATTAATCCAACCTAAAAGTTCGGCTAAATTTTTGTCTTAATTAAATTTGATAATGTCATAAACAGAAAAGAGTATAACATTAAGCAAGATCAGAAGTTCTGTGCTAACTATTTTCATATTTTCATAATTGTTTTTCAAAGGTTTATAAATTGCAATATAACAAGCAAATACTCCTGATAAACAACCTGTAGTTAGACTCTAAGCAGCAAAAAGGCCTTAAAGTAAAACTAAATTTATTATGAATAAGGTTTTTTTAATCAACAAAACAGTGAAATATTATTTAGATCCTTACCTGAAATTATTATCAATTCCTTCCACTAAGACTGATAACGTCTTGGTTACTTTTCCTTTTTTGCTTAGATAAGAATAAAATAACATGATTAGGAATAAGTTAATTAGAATTTTGGCTTTAAAATGCAATATTTTAACTAAAAACTCTTTTTTTATCATAGATAAATAAAATTTTACATCTCTTACATGTTTTTTAAGACTACAACATGTTCACTTCGATCTTGTTCTCAATGCAATTATGAAGAAGACTAGATTAAAGTTATTAATACTATTACGAAAATAAGCGATACATAATACCAAAGTTAGATCAAAAGTTCTCTAAAGAAATTAGATTAGAAGGCACGTTTACTAAAAGGAAAATAATTAAGAATAAATTTAATAGACTAAGATTTCGAAATCAGAAGAGAACCAGGTAAGAAATCTAAGTTACATAAATTCGGGTAATCTGGGAAGGATAGATTTTGCAGAATCAGAGGAAAGAAAATTGAAGTGAGCTTTACAGGGAGTAATTTATAGATATAATACAAAATTTAGTTGAAGAAATACATACCTTTTCATTCTGAACAACCCCCAACGTTTTCATTTAAATTACAAATTCATCATAGAAACATATCAAGCAATCTCATGAAAATATTTTAACTTCTGTCTTCTAAACAAGCTTTTCATTTTTTTGCTACAAAATTCTGACGCAATTCAAACCAGATTAGTCCTTTCATAGCTTGAATTGTGGTTAAGATTGCATTAGTCTTATTTAAAAGCTCTCAAGGTAAAATTATAAAAAAGTTTATCCTGTATCTAATAAACTAAAATTATATCATGATGATCCCTTAAAAGTAAAATCAAATATATCAAGCATTAAAAATTTCCGTTTTACCAATAATACAAGTGTAAACTAATTAATTTTATTATTACTACTGTCTAAACCTCAGTCAGATAATTGATAAAGTAGAGCTCAAAAATCTTCATTTTAAGTTATTATAATTAATTATTAAAATTTACAACAAAATCATTTCCGCTTTCATCACTATTTTCCTTACAATTAAGAACCTAGATTTTGAAGCGGCTATATTGGATAGCTTGAGATCTTATTTTGCCTTATTTAAATTTTTAAATAAAATCCAGCAACCTAATAAGTTAAATAATAAGAGAATCAGAGGTGCAATATCATTTTTTATACTATTTTATCATTTAAGAATTTAAATAAAATTTATGAGAAAGGAACAACATTCCTCCTCAATATATCACAATTAGGAAGGATTGCAAGTTCATGTACAGCCCCTTTCAGTCTGGTAATAGAAGAATTGGTTGCATTTCAAATCCTTTTTTTATAAAAAAGTCTATGCTGTTTTATCTTAACCATCTTGTAAGTGCGTAGGCATTTGCAAATATGCACATCGACCAATATGCTTTTCAGATCCATTATAAGATTGTAGAAACAAAAACTTAAAAATGAGTTAACGAAAATTTGGATATATACTTCAGGATGTAGGTCATGTTGAGTGTAGAGCTTAACAAGTATGAGATGTCATTAAATTAGAACCAGCTTGTTTAATATTCTCATGAACTCACTAGGGCTATAAATCATTCTAACGATTAGAATATGGCCGTTGCTTATCAAAACCACATACACATTTTCAGGGCTCCACTTTTTTTTACAAATTTAAAAGTTTGGTATAACTCAATAACTCAAGTTGCAAATGTACAATAGCACTAGTCAAGTTAAAAATGGAAGAGGTATTGTTAAATAGCTAATAATTTTATTTGGACATGAATAAAATTCCTCTATTTATTTAGTAAACCCATCGTTTGCTTTGTGATTGTAAGCACTAATTGAGTAGATTCAAATCATGTACAAGTAATGAAAACTTCTGATATATGATATTATGAAAACTGTACTGCTGTCACAGGGTGATCAATAGCGCTAGATTTATCAATCTAGGATCGCTGCATTACTAGCGGGTAGTTGGCAAGTTGATGTAGGGTGTACTCCAAGGCTATTATTGAATACAAAAATATCTCATTCAAGAAGAGTTTAAAGTATTAACAGTCCCTCAATGGAACTATTATAGCATCATCCGTCTAAGTGTTAGAGCTGTAACCACAATTTCCACTAATCATATTATCGAAATAAGCTACAGAAAAAACGGAGTAATAAAGTAGCACAATAAAAAACTATAGACAAAATATGAAATTTTTGATCATATGTCAAGCACCAAATTTTAATTTAGTTAACTCCAATATAATCATTATTTCTATACCTAACAGCTAATATTAGGATAAATCTTGAGTGGAGGATTGGAAAATTATCCAGGTAAGATTTAAAATTATTATTAAATCTAAAGCTTGTATGGAAATTTTTAATATTTTAATATATACCATATGGTTTAGATATATTAAACATTTCCATAATCCTCTCCTCATTTTATTTTGGAAATATACCATATACTTGTTTAATTGTTTAATATGTAAGAGTTTAATAATAAATGATACTAATTAATTACACAATTCATGGAATATAATGAGCTTATAATAATTTTAAAAGAGGATATAATATGATGTGCAGATGGAATTTTAATTAATGAATATGATCACTGTGAGGATTCATTTGATTAACATTTGATTGGATTATATAAAAGAAATTAGTTATATACAAGAAATTTTCAAGTTTGAGTAGAAAAATTTGCCATTAATTCAACATATAGATTATACCTTCAATAATTACCAAATGTTAATTGATTATCTTGATTCAATAATAGTTGACATTAAATGAAATATGTGTACTCTAAAACCTCAGCAAGAATTTACTTTTTAAAAATTATACTTAGCTCAATAAAACTATGACATTACTTTCGATTAAGAAAAATTTCAAGATCAAAAATTAAAAGATTAATAAATATCTAAGCATTCTGAAATGGATTCCAAACACTATAGCTTGATAATATAAGATATTTTATTAAATTTTTAGCCTGCTCAATATGGTTTACTAGTTTGTTCAATTTTTTAGTTAATTATCAATGACATATAATACCAAACTATTGATATCAATTCTGTTGATAAGAAAAAATTTCAAGTATCTTCAGATTTAACTATTCTATTTAAATTTTTTATAAAATGACTCTATAATTCTGATTATACAATTCAAATTATGTTTTGAAGAAAAGAAAGAGAATTAAACAAAGATAGATGTATAGCATTCAGGAACTTTATTTTTTTTGTGCCTTTCCAAATTTTAGATGATAAAGAATAGTTTAAAATTAAATTTAAATATCTCTTAAATAATTAAACTAGTAATGGAACTCCATAGTGATTATATACAAATACACTAATAATGATAATATATAAAATAAAGAATGAATGTAAAATTTTTGCACTCTCAAACTGAAAATATGTCAAGAAAACTTGTGTAGAATTAAATGCATTAATTCAATAAATATATTATTGGAAATAACTTAAACCTAATACTTTGTGATCCAATATCTCGTAATATTCAAATTCTCCTTATATTTCATTGGTTATTTAAAGCATAAGTGGCGTTAATCTGTAAAGTAAATTTAGAAACCTGAGTGATTGAGGTTAAATCCTATTATCAATTGTGCCTTCAATTAAGAATAAAAGTGAAAAAACTTTGAAGTAAAGGAGTCACAAGTTCATACCCACTTTCTAAGGCTTTTTCGTGAAAATTGTAAAGCATGAAAGTAAGATTATTCCAAAAATTAAAAATAATTTATATCATTGTGAGATTAAATTAAACCCAACCATATTTACAATATGTTTGGTTTCTATTTAAATAAAATAATTATTTTCAAATGAATACTTCAAAGTTAATATCTAATCATTATCTCATTTAATTTTATTATCTAACTGATACTATCGAAACTAGATATAATTATCAATAAAAGATATAAAAAATAGAATTTTCAAGAAAGGATGACCAATGAATACAAATGCACAAAAGAGAAGAACAGAGGAAATACAGAATATGAATATTAGAATCTCTCTTATATTATTGTCAATTCTGTATCACATCTTATGCCAGGCACAACGACAACCAAACAAATATTGAGGTACTTTAATTAAAAAATTATTAACAATCCATTTAATAATAATTAAGCAAATCCTGAGAAGGTAAGTATTTCAATTCTACCAAAAAGTAATATATCTCAGCAACTAGAATTGTTATAAATGTTTTTATATGCCAAACAACAGTATAATAATCATAATAAATTCAACGGTAGTAACATTTATATTTTAGAATGAAGAAACATTGTGTATTTATTAAATTGATATTAATCAATCAAAAATAACTTTATTAATCTTAATATAATTCTGCAGTTTGGTATAAACGATTATTTTTAAATATATTGAATATACATAGAGTTAGGTTCTATTAATTTCGAAGATAAAGATTTATAGATCTTTGAGGAGAGATTAACTAATGAATAATTGTTAATTCGGAATTTTCGTTTCCAATTTAATTAAAAAATAGTTATTATAATTGTTTAGGAATTTTTAATCTATGCACTTAAAAAACAATAAAGTGAAGTCTAATGATTTCTAACTACGTCTATTAAATTTGGAGAATTATGAATTATTAAAAAATTTTCTTGGTTAGAGAAATATTAAATTTTTAATTATTTGTTCAAATAAAATACATATTTTGCATCTTTATTCTCTTTAACTCAATATCTTCTATTCTTAAGAATACACGAAACGCTAAATTTTCAGAAAAACAGGCTGAATAAATCATTTCTACATCAAAAACTTATTAAGATACATTAATTCTTCAATCTGTTTTTTGATGATTAAGTGTCTAATTACAATTTATATGTTTGCTATAGAAATATATAATTTAGATTTATTTGGAGAACTGGATCTAGATTTGTCTTTCAAGTGTGTCAAAGTCTTAAACTTGCTGGATAAAAAGGATAGGAGAATACAATTGAGAGCCTTATGATTCCTGTAGCGATTATGTGAATCATTTTAAATATAAAATCAAACAACATCATTTTGTCCATACCACGAAGATTCAAATTATAATCTAGAGAAATAATTTTAGTTAAATATGTGAATTCAACCAAATTATAATTCATAAATTTCACATTCTTTTATTTCTGGTTTATTCTATCCAAACAAATATGGATCATCACTTTGATTCTTGT